AGAATAGAATAGAATAGAATAGAATAGAATAGAATAGAATAGAATAGAATAGAATAGAATAGAATAGAATAGAATAGACAATTAACTCAGGCATGAGGAAGCTTCCTAGTAACGATGTAAGATGGCTGGCTGCTGGCATAAAACAAAATGGCTACAGTTATGCTAGGGGAGCAGGCCTCTCTCTCTCTCTCTCTCTGTGTGTGTGTGTGTGTGTGTGTGTGTGTGTGTTTGTCTGCATGTGTGTGTGTCTGTACATGCAAGGACCTGGCACGGCACCAGGTAAACAGAGGAGAGAGGGTCAGTAGTTCAAGACCACCCTTTGATGCACAATGAGTTTGAGGTGGAGTGTATTGCACATTTTCAGAGATAATCAACATTTTGACTTCATAGTGGACAGTGCTGAGAACATCTCTTCAGACATAATGTCACGTACAATGGCAGAAGTACATTTAAGCCATTTCAGAAACTGTCAGGAATTCCATCCTAATTCCATGTTCATTGGACAATTTTTAAATGAAGCTCAAACAACTCAAATAGCAATTTTTAAAGTCAAACATCGTGACACAAAACAACCCAAAGTTACACTAATTTAACAAGATAAAGAACATGGTAAGGAATCAAACCACTCTCTATAAGAGGAAAAACCTTTGAAGATTCATTAGAAACACTGCAGTTCAAGTGTGCTATAGTCTGCATCCTGAGCCAAGGTATTTCATGCCTGGGAGTTTCATGGTGTGATTGCTCAGGCATTGAGCACAAAGAACACGTTGTGTGCTTCAAACCAAGACTACAGGGAAGTCTTGATGCAATGCAGATAATCGCTACTAATGAGATCTCAGATTCATCATGACTTTGATTTTCAATTAATTTTACTCTTGTCAAATTTTTCATGATCACCACATTGAGTTAGGTTGTCCCATATATGGTCATGAACCTCTATAGGGGTGATATTTAGAAAATGGCACCCAGTCCAGCTTGGTCGGATAGACTTGGTGTTAGACTTGCGTTTGGAACTCCAAGTTTGTCTGTGTGAACCTTTTCCTTAGCACAGTTTCTAATGATGAGCAGTTGCTAGTGGACAAGCATTCAAACCATTTATAGTACTTGTAAAAGATGAGGAGCTGACCTTCCTCCATTTAAATGTGTCCCTACTTAGTTTTCCAACTAGCTTGAAATTCTTCTAAACTCTGGCTGAAAAGTAAATCAACTTGGACAGAACCTTATTGACACTCACTACTCTGAGCCAGATGTGGAAATCGGTGTGACACAGATTGGCTACCAGAAGGAATCTCGGACTTGTTCAGAGTGCAGGGTCATATTTTGCTGTGTGGCCTTCAGACAAGAAGTGGAGGTGGGCTTTGGCTTCCATACCTGTGACCCACACTTGCTCACATGATTAACACACAGCCCTGAAGAAAGCTACTCCAGTTACATAACAAAGCCCAAAAAGGCCAGGTATCACCAGATTAACACCAGCAAATCCTTACAAGGCACTGCCTTGTATATAACAGAAGTATACATTGAAAGGATCAGAGTTGGCATAGGACATACCAAGACCAAGTTCTGAGCACAAAAGAGCTTTATCTGCCCTAGCAAACAGCAGGGAATGAGAGACAAAGACAGGAAACAGGACAAAGGGAAAGAGAAAAAGAGCAGGGGTGAGAGGAGATATTTGCCCTGGAGGGAAATGGATGGCCTCTGGGTAGAGAGGAGAGAAGTGGCCCCTGGGAAAATGGCCGTTTATAAAGGGAAAAGGGGAAACCTTGTGTTACAATGAGTTGTTTTGTTTTTATTGGCCATGTTAATTAGGACAGCCAAAAGGGAGCTTTTGATTGCTGGACTTCAATAATTTGATACCTAGACCTTGGTGATCAGCCTCAGGGTGAGGAAGTAGCCACATAAAGGAATAGACCTTGGTGGCTAGCTTTAAGAAAGTAATCTGTGGTTTAGTAAGGAGGAAGGACTGGGCAAAGGAAAGGCTTGCCAGAGCCATGGTTGCCATGCTTGGGCCTACTGAGCCCTACTTACACCAGAGGCTAGGTCTGAAAGACCTGCAAAGACGTGACTGTCTTAAAAGATGAACAGCATAAGTCTGTCAGCAAAGAAGCAGACACAGTCCTTTCATGAAGTTGACCAGGAACCCGGGGCCTGGAGACAGGAGGGACAGCATTAGACAGAGACAACAAAGTTTATGGCGCTCTAACAAGACAGACCCTGAATGGAAGGAAAGGCTTCCCCTTAAAGCCTGGTGCTTCACTAAGAATGTGAATAAGGGCTGTAGAGAAGACTGAGTGAGTAAGAGCACTGGCTGCTCTTCCAGAGGTCCTGAGTTCAAGTCTCAGCAACCACATGGTGAGTCACAACCATCTATGGTGGAATCTGATGCCCTCTTCTGGCACACAGGTGTACATACAGGTAGAGCACTCATAAATAAATAAATAGATAAATAAATAAATCTTTTTTTAAAAAAAAAAAGTGTTGTAGTACAACAAACAATTTATCTCCGACTAGCTTACAAATAAATAAGGCTCAGACTATGGCTATTTTATTTGTTTTTGGCAATTACTGTGGGTCATCCCATCTACTTTTCTAACTGCAGGCCTGGCTACGCCTCCATCGGTGTATCCCAGATACTTGCTGTTTCTCTTGGTCATATGCTCATGGTTCCTCCTCCTGCCCCTCATGACAGCTTCCTCCTCCTCTCCCATTCCTCCTCTTTCCTGGTCTCTCCTCTTCCGACCAGGTCAGTCCAAACCCGCCTACCCCAATCCTTCCAGTAACTGGCTGCAGTCAATTTTATTTAATCAGTAGTTGTAAACCAAGAAACAAGGCTTGTACAACAAAAGTTTGTAAACGTGAGAAGTCACTCATAGGGCTAGACTTTCCCATATAGAATTTAGCATTACAATACATAGCAATAGACCAAACCAAGAAATGTGCGAGAGAGAGAGAGAGAGAGAGAGAGAGAGAGAGAGAGAGAGAGAGATATTAGTGGGACAGGTCGGGGACCCAGCTAGAGGCAGACCTCATGATATCTTTCCAGAAATCTCCTTTAGGAATCTCACACCAATCCCTAGAATAAAGGCTAAGTCTGATTTTTATATCATTTAGAGATGACAGGAAGTTCACATCCGATGATTTAGTTCAGCATGGCCTACATGATAGAGAGCTGGGTGCCATAAACTAAGAGGAGCTGTCAGGCACGGGTTGCTTCATAACTCTGTCAGAGAGAGAGAGAGAGAGAGAGAGAGAGAGAGAGAGAGAGAGAGAGA